TAATATCTTGAAGAGTGTTTTCCAACTTGGTTTTGTTCTCCCCGTCACTTTCAGGTACACCAATCAAGCATAGATTTGGTCTTTTCACAGAATCCCGTATTTCTTGATGCCTTTATTTCTTTTCACTCTTTTTTCTCTAATCTTGCCTTCTCAGTTTATTTCATTGAGTTGATCTTTAATCTTTGTTCTTGCACTTGATCAATTCGGCTATTGAAACTTGTGTGTGCTTCATGAAGTTCTTGTGCTCTGTTTTTCAGCTTCATCAAGTCATTTATGTTCTTCCTGCACTGGTTATTCTAGTTAGCATTTTGTCTAACCTTTTTTCAAGGTTCTTGGCTTCCTTGCATTGGGTTAGAACATGCTGCTTTAGCTCGGAGAAGTTTGTTATTACCCACCTTCTGAAGACTATTTCTGTCAATTCGTCAAACTCATTCTCCATCCAGTTTTGTTCCCTCGCTGGTGGGGAGTTATGATCTGTTGGAGGAGAAGAGTTGTTCTGGTTTTTGGAGATTTCAGCCTTTTTGCACTGGTTTCTTCCCATCTTCGTGGATTTATCTACCACGAAGATGGGAAGAAACTTTGGTCTTTGAAGTTGGTGACCTTTGGATGGGGTCTCTGAATGGATGTCCTTTCTATTGATGTTGAAACAACTTCTTTCTGATTGTTAGTTTTCCTTCTGTCACGCCCCTCTGCTGCAGGTCTGGAGTTTGCTGGAGGTCCACTCCAGAGCCTGCTTGCCTGGGAATCACCAGCAGGGACCACAGAACAGTAAAGATTGCTGCCTGTTTCTTCCTCTGGTAGTTTTGTCCCAGAAGGGTGCCCACCAGATGCCAGCCAGAGCTCTCCTATATGAGGTGTCTGTCAGCCCCTGCTGGGAGGTGTCTCCCAGTCAGGATACACGGGGATCAGGGAGCAACTTGAGGAGGTAGTCTGTCCCTTATCAGAGCTTGAGTACTGTGCTGGGAGATCTGTTGCTCCCTTCAGAGCTGACAGGCAGGGACGTTTAAGTCTGCTGAAACTGAACCCACGCTACCTCTCTTCTCAGGTGCTTTGTCCCAGGAAGGTGGAGGCTTTATTTTTAAGTCCCTGATGGGCTGCTGTCTTTTTTCAGAGATGCTCTTCCCAGCAAGAAGGGAGTCTAGTGACACAGTCTGCCTGGAGTGACCTTGTTCGGCTGCTGTGGGCTCCACCCAGTCACTATGTAAACTTTCTGGTGACTTTGTTTACGCAGGTGAGGTTAAAACTGCCTACCTGAACCTCAGCAGTGGCAGTCACCCCTCCCCCTGCCAAGCTCAACCATCCCATGTGGAGCTCAGACTGCTGTGCTAGCTGGGAGAATTTCAAGCCAGTGGATCTTAGCTTGCTGGTCTTCATGGGGTTGGGACTCTGCCGAGTCAGATCCCTTGGCTCTCTGGGTTCAGCCCCCTTTTTCAGGGGAATGAGTGATTCTGTCTCACTGGCATTCCAGGCACCACTGGGGTATGAGAAAAAAAAGAAAAAAAAAAAAACCTGCCATGTCTAAAATGGCCGCCCAGTTTTGTGCTGGAAACCTGGGATGCTAGTGTTGTAGGCACTGGAGGGAATCTCCTGGTCTATGGGTTGTGAAGACTGTGGGAAGACACAGTATCTGAGCCAGAGTGTCTGGAAAAGCTCCTTAGCTAGGAGAGGGCGTTCTCCCACACTTTGCACTTCCTGGGTGAGGTGATACTCCACCCTGTGTCAGCTCGCTCTCCTTGGGCTGCATCCACTGTCTTATCCAGTCCCAATGAGATGAACCAGGTACCTCAGTTGGAAATACAGGGATCACTCACCTTCTGTGTCACTCTCACTGGGGGCTGCACACCAGAGCTGTTCCTATTCAAGCCATCTTGGCAGAAATCCTGCCTTCTTTTGGTTTTCTTTGTGCATGCATTGCATTGGTTGTATTGAACTTCTTGGATCTATAGGTTTGTTTTTAATCAAATCTTGGAAATGTTCAACTATTATTTCTTCTAATCTATTTTTACACCCTATCTGTCCTCTCTTTTTCTTCTGAGACTCAAATTATAGATTGCTAACCATGTTGATGTTGTCCCACAGGTCACCTAAACTCTGTTCATTTTGTCAATATTTTTTTCTCTTTGTTTTTCAGATTGGGTAATTTCTCTTGACAGATTTTCTAGGTTACTAACACTTTATTCTGGTACCTCCAATCTGCTATTAAACCTATACAGATATTGTACTTTTTGTTCTAAAATTTTCTTACTTTTCAATTTCTCTGCTAAGATCCCCACTTGTTCATTTATTATAATCACAGTTTTCTTTCCCTTCATTATATATATATATATAAAATGTTTATAGTATACTTATATTTATAGTATACTTATAAGTTTATAATATACTTATATTGAGGCCTTTTTCTTCTAATTTTAACATCTGGTCCATCTCAGGGTGTGTTTTACTGATTGCTTTTTCTTTTGACTATTGGTCACATTTTTCTCTTTGTTTATATATCAGATACTTTTTTGTTTATGCTGCACAATGTGGATGATTGTAGAGACTTTAGGTTATATAGTTTTCCTTTGGTATATGCAAAAGATTGGTTCCAGGACCCCCTGTGGATACAAAATCCATGCATACTTAGATCCTGCATTTGGTTCTTCAGAACCCACATATATGAAAAATTGGCTGTCTCTATGAGTGGGTTTCACATTCCACTGATACTATATTTTTATCCACATTTGGTTGAAAAAAAATCTGCATGTAAGCAGACTCATGCAGTTCAAAACCATGTTATTCAAGGATCAACTGTATATTCTTCTAAGAGAAGTGACTTTTTATTCTTATAAAAATTGATACATATGTATTATTTGTAACAGCTTTATTGAGCTATAATTACCTACCTACAATTCAATGGTTTTAGTATATTCATGGATATGTGCAACCACTTAGAGTGTTTTTATCACCTCAAAAAGAAATACTACATTTCTTAGCTCTACACTTTCCCACCCTTAAACTGTCTCTGTAGATTTGCTTTTTCTGAGCATTTCATTTAAATAGAATTTATAATATGTGGTCTTTTGTGACTGGTTTCTTTTACTTAGCCTAATGTTTTTAAGGTTCTTAAAACGTTTGTAAACCATGTTATAACCAGCACTAGTACTTTATTCCTTTTTGCAGCCGTATGATATTCCATTATATGGATATACCTCAGTTTTTTTTATCCATTTATCAGTTGATAGATGGAGAGCTGATTTTCATTCTAGTGGGCAGTTAAGTTGGCTGGACTCAAACTCCAAACTCCCTCTCTTTCCTGCTAAATAAATACAAATCTAACCTCAAAAGTGTCCTCCTTTTTAGGATGCATGCCATTCCAGTTTCTGCGTGTTCTAGATGTCTCTAATGCCTATAAATAGCTCTTTTTATATTTTGTGCAGAATTTATCATATTTTTCTGTGTGAAGATTAGCCAATACAATCTATTCCACTGTTATTGGATGCAGAACTCACAATGCCTTGCATTTCAATTGTCAATACAGCTTTCGGAGGCTTCTGCAGACTTATCTCCTTCAAGCCTCAAAAAACAGCTTCCTCTTCTAACTCCAGATAAATGTCTTAGGTAAACAGAGGATGCACTAGTGATATTTCGTCATTTCATCAATGTCAGCCAAAAAGGTGAAATCTTGGAAACACAAAGTTTAGAGCTGAAGAGGTCTATTGAGTGAGATGATTGCCGATGGAATTCAAGTATCCATTCTTTACTCTTTAGTGCTGTGAAAGTTGTACTTCAAGACTTGAAATCACCCCTTGTGATTGAGAACACCCTGACCAGGGTGTCTATAAAATTCAGCCTTGCTCCTTTTAGCTTTCCAGAGGAAACTGTTGTCCTGCCTCCATAGTAAAGCAGAGGAAAAGAAGTACTAGAACCACAAGTACCACCATTCTGTCTCCTACCTTTGGGACTTAAAAATAATAATAAAATTAAAATAATAAGGCCGGGCACGGTGGCTCAAGCCTGTAATCCCAGCAGTTTGGGAGGCCGAGGCGAGCAGATCACGAGGTCAAGAGATTGACACCATCCTGGCCACCATGGTGAAACCCTGTCTCTACTAAAAAAACAAAAAAAATTAGCTGGGCTTGGTGGTGTGTGCCTGTAGTCCCAGCTATCTGGGAGGCTGAGGCAGGAGAATTGCTTGAACCTGGGAGGCGGAGGTTGCAGTGAGCCAAGATTGTGCCACGGTACTCCAGCCTGGCACCTAGCGACAGAGCGAGACTGTTTCAAAAAAAAAATAATAATAATAAATAAAATTAAAATAATCACCAAATAAAAAACATTTCTGTGAAGCCTTACCTCATCTTCTGTCCTGCTAAATCCTAGTTAGTCTTGAAGCCTCTCTGTAGCCTTCTGGTAGTTCCATGAAGGAGTAGGACTATGTTTTAGATAACAATTGTATTACAATTCTGTAAGCATGCCTAGTACCTAGTAGGCACCCAGTAAAGGTTTATGCAACAGATATTTGAACAGCTGAGCATATAATCTGATGAGAAGAAAAGCTTGTAGTTCTGACATTCTGTATGGCAATTCTGAATCTATTACCTGCTTGCTTTATTTCACTGATTTAATTATGAAGAGTACAGTAGGTAATATCTAAGTTAAATTTTAAAAATCCTGAAAACCAAGTTCGCGTCATGAATAAGTTTTAGAAATTAAAATAATCTCTATGTTGCCTTTTTAAAAAAACCTCTGCTGTAATTATTCTGGATCAAAGTACAAGGAGACGAGGACACAAATCCTATTCTTCCTGTTTATTCATGCATTAGAAGATTACAATGCCATAGACAGTTACATTTATTATAGCACTTAGAAATACTTTATGATTTAGAACAGAATAGAAAGTATCACAAATTATTGATGTCACAAGATATAATTTAAATGGTGTCAGAGAAAAACATTTCAAAATAAAAATAAGAAGGTTTAGTCATGTACTACTGTTTTGATTGTTTTTCTTCATAAAAATGCAGGTTATGTGGCATCTCTGGGGAGACTTGTGGCTTCTCGGTATGCTGATGGTCTGTTTCCACAGCTCTACAGAGCAGAAGATGGCAGAGTATACAATGTAAGTCATAATTCCCTCAATGCTCAGTCCTGTGACATGGTGCTGACATCGTGTCGGGGAGTGTGGTGTGGGGAGAGACTTATGATGCTTGGCAGTGATGCAGCTGAGCCAAGGCCTTATCAGGCTGGGGGTTTCCTTTTGGCAGTGGTAGGGTGATGAAAGTCACGATCAAGGAAGGAAGTTTTTGATCCATTAGAGATTAGTGCAGAAAGCTCTAGATGAGAGAGGAAAACCTTTGCACATTACCACCATTTTTGCTTTGAAAGTAAAGGAAAAAAGCAATATGACAGAGATGATCTGAAAGCCAAGAGCAAACTGCCATTATCTGACAGAAGCACCAGGAATAGGGGCAGCATTTGCAAGAGGGAGAATGAGCAGCACCTCTGCCCAGAGTCCTTCATTCCCAACAATTCAGCACCTGAGTCTCATGCCTCCTATATGTGATCCCTCCTATATGTCAGGCCAACCACAGGCAGCTGGAGCTCAAGTCTGTTGGAGACACATGTCCCATCATGTCCATTTATGGATATTTGCTCATGTCAATGTATATCCATGTACTACCTGGACTACTGTTAACTAATATTTAGAAAATTTAAATTACTTTTTTTGGCAAGTTTTTTTTTTTTTTGAGAAAATTTTTGTTGACTTTATTCTCAATCTTTTTTCCAGTTGTTTACTCTCCTTTTCTTTCAGGAGTGCCAGTGAGTCATCAGTTTGGTCTCTTTACATAATCTCATATTTCTCAGAGGTTTTGTTCATTTTTTAGAATTCTTTTTTCTTTTGAGACACATTCTCATTCTATCATCCAGTCTGGAGTGCAGTGGTATGATCATGGCTTACTGCAACCTTGATCTCCCAGGTTCAGGTGATCCTCCCACCTCAGCCCCCCAAGTAGCTGGGACCACAGGCATGTGCCACCACACCCAGCTGATTTTTGTATTTTTTGCAGACAGGGTCTTGCCAGGTTGCCCAGGTTGATCTTGAACTCCTCAGGTCAAGTGATCTGCCTGCCTGGGCCTCCCACCTGGCTTGGCCTCGACCTCATCCTTAGATAGGTGTGAAGCACCATGCCTGGGCCTTTTCCTTTATTTTTGTCTGCGTGCATTGATTCAAAGGAGTGGTTCTTCAACTTTGAAGCTCTTTCCTCAGTTCAGCCTATTTTGTTGTTAATGATTCCAGTTGTATTATTAAATTTCTGTAGTGAATTGTTCAATTCTAGAAGTTCAGTTTAGTTTTCTTAATATGGCTATGTCATCCAGTTCTTGGATCATTTTACCATTTTCCTTGGATTGGGCTTCCACCTTTTCCTACACTTTTATGAGCTTTTTTGACATCTAGATCCCGAATTCAATGTCTTCATTTCAGCCATTTCAATCTGGCTAAGAACGACTGCTGAGAAGTAATGCGATTGCTTGGAGGTAAGAGGACACTCAGGACTTTAGAGTTCCCCGAATTCTTGCACTGGTTCTTTCTCACCTGTGAAGGCTGATGCTTCTTCATTCTTTTAAGTTGCCATCCCTTGAATAGGACTTTTTGTTTTTATGTTCTTTATTTCCCTTGAGGATTTGACTGTAGTGTGAGTTGGGTATAGTTGATTGGCTTTGTTTCTGGATGCCTTCAGAGGGCCAAGGCTAGCCTGGGCTGCATGCTCTAACCCTGGGGGCTAGGATCGGGCTGTGGCTTTGTTCTCTGGTGCCTTGAAGTTGAGCACTGGCTGTGCTGGGGCAGCCAATGTGCTACCAGGCTGCTGGCAAAAGCATTCCACTAAGAGTCGCTGGCAATGCTCTGGTGGGGCAGCCGGTGGAGGGGGGGTCATAGGTGAAAATACCCTGGTAGGGTGTTGGGGCTGCCCAGGAAACAGCAGAGAACCTGGAGGGACACTGTTAGAGGGACAGCCAGGCCATTCAGCCCTTGGAGAAACCTCCACGATGGTGGTAGGTTGCCTTCAGCTTGAAGATGCACCTACTACTTACTTTTTCCAAATCTTGAATTACTTTTTTTTTCTTTTTTTTGAGACACAGTTTCACTTTGTTGCCTAGGCTGGAGTGCAGTGGCACCATCTCAGCTCACTGCAACCTCTACCTCCCGGGTTCAAGTGATTCTCCAGCCTCAGCCTCCCAAGTAGCTACAGGCATGTGCCATCACATCTAGCTAATTTTTGTGTTTTTAGTACAGATGGGGTTTCACCATGTTGGCCAGGCTAGTCTCAAACTCCTACCTCAGGTGATCTGCCCATCTTGGCCTCCCAGAGTGCTGGGATTACAGGTGTGAGCTACCACTCCCAGCCTAGCTTAAAATACTTTTTAAACTAAGCCAGGTCCTAAGCAATTATATCTGTGGAATCCTGAGTTTGGTGTGCTAAGTATATTTTTTTATTTGAACTACATTAAAATTAATGCTGAACTCTTAAAAACATCTGTCCTTTTACCTTCAGCAAAATCTACCTCCACATTACCTGTGGTGTGCCCACCCTGGCTTCTGTGTTATAGCAGCAGCTGTGGATGCTGGTGAAGGAGTTGGTAATTCTGCCTTAAAGGGCCGTGAGAAGTCTCAGAGAAGTGATGCTGGAGCTTGAGGAGTGTGAGTGAGCTTGAGAGACACATGGGACAGGGAGGAAAGGAGTCTGAGCCAAGGCACACAAATGTGGAATTAGGTGATGTGGTCTGAAAGCACGTTTTCCAAGATAAAGCACCATATCTTCTTTTTGAAATGTACTTTGTTACAGAATAGGGCATGATTTTTTCTTGTTCCTTTTCTATGTCTTCTATTGCCTCTCCACCTCCTGAAAGGCCTTGCACAGTGCGTCTGATCTATGTGAAGGATGGTTTATTTGTGCGTATAAGAAATTTCCTGCAAGTCTCTGTCATCATTTGAGGGCAGCCCAAGGACTGTTGGTAGCAGCAGTGAGTGATCAGGTGGTCCAGGTACCGGGGAACTTTGCCTGAGAGAGGAGGGCATGAGGACAAAGGTCATGAGCAGAAGGATGAGTAGCCAGGATGGCATCCTGTAGAGGAAGGCAGGAAGGTGTGCTGGCATATTCCATAGCATTTTTGGAAATATTTTTGGAATGTTATATTTAGGAAATGTTTTAGTGAGACATTATTTTCCATCTGCCTTTGTCGGTCTCCTCTTCTACCTAATTTTTTTTTTGAGATGGAGTCTAGCTCTGTTCCCCAGACTGGAGTGCAGTGGTGCAATCTTGGCTCACCGCAACCTCCACCTCCCAGGTTCAAGTGATTCTCCTGCCTCAACCTCCCGAGCAGCTGGGACTACAGGCACACACTGCCATACCCGGCTTATTTTTTTTTTGTATTTCAGTAGAGATGGGGTTTCACCATGTTGCCAGGCTGGTCTCAAACTCCTGAGCTCAGGAAATCCACCCACCTCGGCCTCCCAAAGTGCTAGGATTACAGGCGTGAGCCACCGTGGCCAGCCTCTACCTAATTTCTTAAGAGTGCCCTGGACTTTTTCTGATAATCTGTAACTACAAAGATAAAACACAATATGGAGAGTTTTTTTTTTTTTTTTTAAGACTGCTATATTTTGAACAGATCACATCATCATCTTTTCGTCTATGGGGAATCCAAGCGTTTTTCAGTTGAAAGATCGGAAGCTTTTCTCCTGGATTATGTAGTGCTTGCAGGATCATTGACAACATTGTTATCAGTGCACAGGTCTCGATGGCAGCACTGTGGCTCTCATGACTTATTTTGGCGCTGCTTTATTGTTTTGTCTTTTATTTTCATTAAGCTGACAGCTAAATCAGACCTGATTTATCAGTTCGTGGAACATTTAACACAAGCTGTGGAGAGCTACAAGCAGCGAATGGACTGGCTCACCAGCAAAAGCCGGCAGATTTTTGGTGTCATCTTGGAACAGTGCATCACCATAGTGTTGGATTTTGGCGGCATTCTGGAGGGAGAGCTTGATCTGTGCCGAGAGGCTCTAACAATGGTCCTCCAGGAGCAGGTGGCTCACATAAGCAACTTCAATATCATACGGTGAGTTCCCATAGGAAGGGAGGATTTTAGTGAAGCTTCATAGTAACTTGTACATATTTGGAATTAAGCAGCACAGCTGACACAGTTAGCTCTATGGTGAGGGAAGAGGCATTATCTTATACTTTCCCAGAGTTGTAATTTCAGCAGCAATCCCACAGTGAATAAATCTTAGGAACTTTTATCTGCTTTGCACAGGGTGTCTTAGCTTTCACATTAAAAGAGATTTAGAAACACACATTTCTTCAGTGCATGGGAAATATAAGAATTTGAATTATGGCAAATATATATTTAAGGCCTTAAATCTCTTCATTCATTTTAGCTTTTAACTTGGGTAATGAATTCAAAGGTCACTAATTTCACTGATTTTCCAGACTGAATTTACAACTCAAGTTGACCTCCCCTATAAGTTGACCCCTTTAACCAGAACAATAGGTGGCTGGTTTTGTAGAATTTCCCATATTTCAGTTTTCACAACGAATTATTTATGGATTCTTGGATTCAAGAGAACTTGGACCTCAGCACTAACTTCTCATCTGGAAAAGTGACTGCACCTCCCTGACAAAAAACATCTGGATAAGGGTTGGGGAAGGATCTAACTTATTCAGTTTTTCTGTTTTTAATCAAATACTTTCAGCTAAATAGAGGACATCTGTGAAGACAATGCCTAATTATGTTCTATCTAGATTCTATTTCTGTCACAGGTATACTACTGAAGGAATCAGGTGCTTAAGTCTGCAAAGCTTTTGCTTTCTGGGAAACCTCTGCTACAACACAGATGATACTCAGCTAGATTCTCTATCGAGGAGGCACATAGTAGACATGAGTATGAGCCAGCCCTGCTTCTGATGGCAGGCCATAGGGGCAGTTAGGCCACTTTACTTGCAATTATTGATTGCAGATAAATTGAGATAATTCAATTGGCTCTTCTTTTTTTGGAATTGGGGCTTCCGCCAGTCATTTATACCCCGAAACTAAATGGTTTAAGAAAAATTTCTCAGGATTTAAAACCTAATACTCTGCTGAACTCAGAACAATACCAGTATTAATACAATAAAAGGCAACCTATGGGAATCTTTCAGGACAATATAAACAATGTCATAAAGAATTAGAAGTAAAATTTTAGAGTAATAGAATTGCTGGTAATTTGCAAATTTTTATACTGTGAATTATTATAAATTTACCATTAAGAGAAGCCAGTTACATATAAACTTGCCTGTTTATAAAAATAGCTTCTCTTAATATTTTAAAGGACTTATTGTTAATGTTTACCTTTCCGTTTCTCACGTAAGCATTGTTTTTCTACTCAGCAAAGCTTACAGAAGATAGTGGTGCTTTGAGGAACCGGTCTTTAACAGCTTGCTGATTTTGTTGGTAACACCAGAGCCTGCGAGCTAGGATTTCTTTCTTCTTCAGCTCTGGAGATGGATGTTGGCAGCTTGCTGCTCATGGCTGTGAGAGGGAGGGTTGGCTTCCCCAGTAGCATTGATCACTGCCCAGTGACCACTCCATGTGATCCCTTTCAGGGTTTCTCAAGAGCCTGTGAAATGGCAGGAAAATGCTACTCCTGTGACCAAACAGTCCATAGCTGCTGCTATCAGCTGGGTTGAGAGACTGACTATTGAGCTGACTGTGAGCAAGGTTGGCTGCATAGATGCTCTTCTGGAAGCTGGGAAAGACAAGACTGTAAGTGCATGTTCATGGCTGGTCCTAGGCCATGGGGGTGGCTTCCAGCTTAACTCTTCACGCTGAGTGACTTTACACAGCCCTTCAACTGATCTTGGGCCCCTCCCAGAAGGATCCCACAGAGACCTCATCAGGCACTGATGGTGATGGCAGAGCTGGACCAACCCAAATGAGGCCCCCAAATACCTGTCCCCTGAACCTGGCTAGGCCCCCTCTGTGGGGTGATTGAGGATGCACGGTAGACCCTTGTTTAACCAGTGCTGGAAGAGCCAAGCACTACTCACACCCACAGAGTATCAAGAAAGGACAGGAGTGAAGCCATAGTTGTGCATCTCTGCCATATTAATTTCACTCTTGCTCTCCTGCCAATTAGATCAGTCAGTCTCTTACGAGGAGGAGAGTGAGATTGAAAGACTCCTCATAGAACCCTGAGGATGGGGAAATAGGGTTTTCCCAACATCCACGTTCTGAATCTTTCCTAGTGCCTCTTCTTCACAGATGGATCTGTCATCTGTCATGTACTTTCCAAGGTGAAGTACATACAAGCTGATGACTCCATCCATTTTTGGATGTCAATGTATTGACATGAATTTTGATAGGGACCTTTTGGAAATAAAGCTTTACCTGGAAGAAGTGATTAGATGGTGGTGTGTTATGTCTCTTTGAGCTGCAGGGTCTGTGTTTCTGGGAATGACTCTAGTAACGGGAGTGTTAGGCGCAGTGGCAAGCCAGTAGAGACACACCCTGGACAGGTGGGCTCCCTGTGGGAAGGTCTGCTTGCCTTTGGATACAGTCACTTAACAGTTACGTGCTTCCTCCGCTCTGGAAGCCTGGGGTTTCTGTAAGTTTCAAGCCCTACCAAGTGCATCAAGAAGTCTACTCTTGGAGAAAGAGGCCACGTGCTGTCATCTTGAAAGATAGCCCCCAGTGATCACCAGCCTGTTTTATCCATACTGAGGGTGATGGTTTGTAATTGTTTTTCCTTCCAAAGCCAAAGGAACAAATGTTTTCCATTAAGGAAGAACCAGATACAAGCTTTTTTGTTCCTTGATCCTTTGAGTTTAACATCTGTAAAATTTCAAGTGTCTGGACACCTTAATAAGCATTCAAAAAATGATTTCATACCCATGCTCAGGATGTGTGTACACGAGCCTGTGCACATGGCTGTTTTCTTTGTCTGTGAACCTGGCTATTGTGATCACAGCTGACCGTGGCCCCCTGACCTGACTGCAGGGTGCCCAGTGATCCTGCCTTTCTGTTTCACCTCCTCTGGTTTGTGCCTCTTTTTTGTCTGGGGTTCACTCCTATCCCAGGAAGTAAGGAACAATTCAGAGAGTTCCAGGGAAGTCCTATAGAAGAAGAGGAACCAAGAAAGAAGCTTCCAGGCACTGCTCATCAAATGCAGCCTAAAAGCTTTTGAGAAGAGGCTGTGGAGCACAGCACATGCCAGACCTACACAGACTGCTGTGCCCTTCTGCCCATAGCCTCAATCTATGGGTGGACTCAAGGAAAATTCTAGTAAATGCAACTGCCTTGCATATAAAAATGCTGTTCCCTGTTTTATGAGGAGTTAAAAAACGCATGTGTGTGTGGCGGGGCAGGGTGAGGTGGGTTCCCATAAGTCCTGCTTCCCTGCTCCATGCCTGTCACGGCCACCCCAGTGAGTTCCGAATTCATCCAGATAGCTGCAGTTTGCTCTGAACAGAAAAGATGGAAAGCTTAAGGAATGTTTTGAACAGCAAATATAAACGCCCAGACTGTTCCTGCTGATGATAGCCTGCTGCAGGTTAGCGTCTCCCTTCATGAGCGGGTACTGAGAGGAGCCAAGAAATTGAGTGTTGTCCTGTGTCCACAAATGAACATGCAAGTCTGGTTCCTGTACTAAGTCCGCATGAGGAGTAGGGCTGAACCACGTGCTTGGTCATGGAGAAGAAGGATGCCCAGAGAGGCTCCCAGCCCCCTCCAGGCACAGGCTTTGCAATCATGGTGGGCCAGGAAGACTGGAACAGGAAGCAACGACAGAGGGGGGCCCTGAGGTCTAACAAGAGCCCGTGCAGAGGGGGAAGTCTGTTGAAATCCTGGCTCTACTCATAGCACTCAAACAGTACTATTGATAGATGAATTACTGTTGCATCCTATGAAAAGGAACCTGGCTCATGGGGTGGGCAGCACATGGGGTTCTGGGGACATGTTTGCAGGTTGAGGGGGTTGACATCCTCAAAGACCAGGTGTGTGGACCAGCACAGAGTTTCTGCTCTTCAGTAGCCCTGGTCCAGGACATGCATCTTTGGAAGTTGGTAGCTTCCCAGGCCCTATGAGGAAGGGTGGTACACAGGATGAAAGGGAAGGCTATTTACCCAGAGCCCTTGTTCTAAGCTGCCTAAGAAGACTGAGGGGCTTTGTGTCTCTGCCAGGACAAGGCCACCTACCCAGAAGACACCTGCATTTCTGATTCTGTTCCTCTCTTCCATCCACCTGCCTGCACATATCTGTTTAGTTTTTGGTTTCTTTTAATCATATTTCCTGGGAGGCCAAGTGAGTGGATTAAAGACAGACCCACATGATTTCATAAAGAATCTTCACTGCTAGACTGAAAGCCGAAGCCTGGCCACATTAATCCACGACCCTGGCAGTTCATTTATTTCCTTGTAGTGGTTCAGGCAGGCATCAGATCTTTTTGTTTTTGTATTTCTGATGCCTAACAAGGGGTCTATAAATGCCTGTTGAACAGTAAAGGGTTGGAAAGGAAATAATTTTGATATTCTTATGTTTGAGGGGAAGATGTGGGTCCCATTTTCAAGCAATGGCATAGAGTTGAGTTTTGTGAATTGAAGGGAGATGGCCTGTGTGGGACTGAACAGGTAAGTCTTGTAGGACCCTGGTGGGGTTGGCAGGTGGGGACAGAAACCCTGAAACCTGGGAGGCCGGAAAATTGGAGGTGGTGAAGGGTGTTAGAAGGGATCTGAGAGGTGAACTAGATCAATACCATGGGGACAGTCCCCACCATGGAGGGAATCAAAAGATCAAATGGGCTGAGACAGCAGAGGGCTCTCACAGGTACAGGGGGATTTCGGAGGTCAGATCCGAGGTCTGGAGTTGGCCAGAAATGTTGTAGTGTTCAAAGTTATATGCAGAACAGACAGAATTTTGCAGATCTTTCACTGCTGTTCTGATTGACTTTCTTTTTGCTCTCTGAAGAGTGAAGATTTTTATACCTGGAAGCCTAGGGGATGAGAGCACAGGCTCTGGCCAGTGGGACAGAGGGCAGTCAGAGTAGAAACGCACCCTCCTAGTATGTTTCTTTCTTCCCCCAAAAGCTGCATCTAGGAAGATGTCAAGGACTCCTTGGCGGGGCAGAATGCATGCTACTGTGTGAAGCTGCAGAATGAATGGTCCAAATGTAATAAAGCATTTCAAATGAAAACATAAAGGCTCTCCCTACTTGATGTAGTGTGAAGTGGCAAGAGTTTTTGACTCATTCTAAAGGAGCGGAATGGAACTTATGTATTTTATTAAATTCAGTGCAAATCAGCATTTAGGGAAATGTGGTCAGTGAGGAATCTACTCCAGGACAGAAGGCTGCTACTGAGCCTCAGGACTGGCCTTTGCCTTCAAGAAGCTCAGAGACACTGGTTAATGGTGCAGATTCCCATCAGGATAACTCCCTTAAGCCACACAACCTCCTGGTCCCAACTTTGGGTCAGTGGTGTTGGTAACAGGGGGTAGGAGCCTGAACCCTTGAAGTAAATTTTTTCACTTCCGTCATGGGGTAATGATGGAAGTGAAAAAAGTGCCTGCCCAGGGCCACCTTCTCTTGCTTGATCTTACTTTCTGAATTCTGGGGCTCACATGCATCCCTAACAGGTGACCAGCCTTGCCATGAACAGCACAGTGTAGCCGTGGACAGCAAGGGCAGGGCTCATGAGGCTGGGCAGCCTGGGCTTACCAGCTCCAAGGCCAACTCAGTTTTCCTTTCCAAGCCTCAGTTTCTTCATCTGTATATTGGGGATGGTAATAATTCATGCTCCACAAGACTGTTGTATTGAGTAAAGTAATTTGTTTTAGTTTATCATCTCAAATAGCCAACAGTCCTCAAGCCATTTTGCTTTAAGAGGCATTTTGCCAGTTTGATGGTGGACAGGAATAGGTAGCATGTTTATCCTTTCAGTTTTTCTAAGTGTCATCACGTGAGCAGAAAGGGGAGGCAGAAAGACTGTGTGCAGGAGAGTGGTGGGGGCAGATAGGTGGTCTCCATGTAAAGCATGTCCCAGGAAATCTGTAGCACAGAGAGTTGACTGAAAATGTATGTGATTAAGAAGCTGAGTAATGAACTTAATGAATAGTGAATAACATCTCAGCCTTAGTAAGGGAAAGGAAATCCTGACTCACTGTTGGCTACAGCAATTTTTGGTTTGATGAAATCTCTAGGGAAAAACATTTCTGCACAAGAACTTCAGGATTTTGGATTATTGTCAGAGCAAAAAAGCTGAGTTTACATGACATGCAGTGGGCGTGTGAGGTGTCAGGAGCGGCTGACAGACCACCTCGAGATGTGTGTCCTCACCTTCCTCTTCATCTAACAAACCCTAGAAAATACTCTGCTCCCCTGTCTCAGGCCATGTGTCATTTAGATCCGTACAACAGGATGAGCCTGTCCTCATGCTAAACTTGGGCACTGACGCAGCTGGAAAACTCGCATAAATAATAGGGCTGCTAAGTGGAAGCCTTTTAAATGCGTCTCACACAAGGTCATGCATAAGACCAGGAAAAGAAGGCAACAATGCATCTGCTGGCAGAGCAGTGCTGGCTGTCTATAAGGAATCTGGAGAAGATGATTTCTTCCTTTCAGGGTTTTTCTTACTCCCAGTTTACTGACTTGAAGAAATTTACAATATCCCCTAGTCTTTTACCACTTGATAGGTACTTTTTAGAATCAGGGAATTGGTGTTGAAAGGCCTGAGAGAAAGAGGCCTGGGAGGGGTCCAGGGCTTTCTGTGCCTCACTGGTGGAGGGGTGTTTTTCAAGTAGCCTGATATCAGCTCCCACTCTGTCCTTTTCCTAAGTCCCAGTCTGGGCCCCACTCCCTGCCTCCCACCCTCACCCCTTCCGCCTCCTTGGCACACAGTCCATCTGTTGCAGGCAGAGCACTCCAACCAACTAGAAATCAACCATGAGGCCACTCCCACCCTTGGCCAGGTGAGTTTAAGGCCTGGGATAGACGCAGAAGTGAGGCCATTTGTTGACTATGTTCAGCTCACCGGTATTTGGGATTAGAGCAAGGAGAGGGCTGTGAATCCTAAAGGGATGGTGACATCTGTTTATCCTCTACCACAATACATTTGCTGGGGTTTCTTCCCCAGTTACATCTGGACACACTCCATCGGGACTTTTTAGGGCAGGTTGAGAGGATATGGATTCCTGGCTCTCCTTGGGTTTTTCACTTTCTGAGATGTATGGAAATCCACACATAGGTGTAAGTCATCCTGTTTCAACTCCATCATGAATAATAAACTGCATTATCTCCCTTTTTACAAGGGAAGACACTGAAGTTAGGTCATTCGCCTGAGGTGACAGAGCTCCTGGGTGGCAGGGGCAGGGAGTACTGCGAAAGCACCATCCTGGGAGGATTGAGGGTGGCAGGGCTGCAGCAGGGCGGGAGGGGCGGCTGTCTCAGGGCCCGGTTGTGGGTTCTCTAGCTCTCAGTTTAGCAGGTGGCACTTCTCTGGGGTTGTCTCCTAACTCGGGGAGGTATATACCTCCCAGAATCACTGGTTTAAGCTGTATGTGTGTGTGTGTGTGTGTGTGTGTGTCTGTGTGTGTGTGTGTGTGTGTCCTGAAACAGGGGTTGCTTATTCTCCCGGTCTTTTCATGGCCTGGTTTGGTGGTGAGAGGCAGGGCACTGCAGGCGGACCTGGCTTCTGACCAGCTGTGCACAGTCAGGACGGTCTCACCCCAGCCCCGGGCGTGCGAGTCTCTGCTGAGGTGAGCCCAGAGTTGGAGCCAGCTGGTAATGTGCCCTCCTTTCCATTTTCTGCCTCAGACAGAGGACACATGAGTTTGCATTGTGGGATTCTGGCACCACCATGGAAATGGCAGATAAGCTTCCTGCCTGCAGTGGCTGTGCCAGTGCTTCCTTCATTGCTTGACTTGAAAATAACAACTCTGATCCTGCGCAATGTATTTGTGGGCCAGAGGAAGTTCTCCAGATCTCCATATTCTTCTCATGCTGTACCCAAGACAATAGCCACTGCTGAGAGACCTCTTGGCACCAAGCCTCGAATATCTCACTTCCTGACTGGCCCTGATGTCCTCACAAAACCCTGGGCAGGGCTGCTATTCTTTCTGCCCATTTTTTTTTAAAGAGGTCATTTTGTAGAAAGTGTATTACTGATGAGTCTAGTGCCAGGCTAGGGAGTGTCAAGGAGATAAACCATTGGCACCACTGTTTTGCAGATCGAATCCATTTACTACTTTGTGGTGGGGGATGTTCCTGAAGAATCCAAGGAGCTTCTCCTCCAGAGTGCCTTGGAGAACCTGTATCCGGTCCACACAGTATCCTTCAATGCCAGAGGGGAAGGCACTATAGCTTTCCTAAAGGACCTGAGTGCCAAGACCCACGGCAGGTAGGCAGAAAATATGCTCTTGAGTGACAGCAAGTGGGTTGCCTGCTCACACGGGATCAACAGTGGGTCTTGCATTCTTCATGGCTTTAAACAATCTGTTGCTATGTTCTCCTCTTTCCAGTATTGTCTTTAGTCTCTCTGCACCTTTTCGTCTCCATCCTGTATTAATCATGCCTATTTTCCGCAATTCTGATGCTTTGACCTCTTGAGGCCCTGCTGGCCTAGGGGACCCTGTCCCTCCCAAGGCTAGCCAATTCCTAGAGATAGCAAATTACTCACTAGGGTGCACTTTCATATGCAAACCAACCAACCAGAGCCCACACTGTCAGTCCAGGCTCTCTCACTTAGGACCACTGTTCTCTACCCTGGCCACTCCAGGGCCACACACCAGAAAACTCAGGACAGCCCGTACACCCCAGAGCCCATGGAGATTATTCAAATTGCCAGTTCTAAGCCTGCTTACTCGTGTTCTCCTCTTCCTTACCTTGGAAGCTGCACTAAAGGCCCTCACCTACCTTTCCCCTCACTCCCTCTGCCTCCCAGCTCACCCGGTGCTTCCCTGTGTGGTCTGTGTGGCACGCTGTGCCCCTCTCTTCTTATGGGAACTGTGCTAGTCAGCTTGGGCTGCCATAACAAATTGCCACAGGCTGGGTGGCTTAAACAAGTATTTATTTCTTACAGTTCTAGAGGCTGGGAGGTACTAGGTGAAGACGAATTCAGTTTCTGGTGAGGGCTCTCTCCCTGCCTTGTAGGCAGCTGCCTTCTCACTCTGTCCTCACATAATGGAGAGAGAGAGACAGTGTGTGAGCACTAACTGGTGTCTCTTCTTCTTTCTATAAGGTCACTCATCCTATGGAATCAGGGCAGCCCTTTGACCTCATTTAACCTTTATTACCTCCTGTTCTATCTCCAAAAACAGTCACATTGGGAATTAGGGCTTCAACATACAAATTTTTTGGCTTGGGTTTGGGGGAGCATAGTTCAGTTTGGAGTGAAACTGAGTAACAAACTATCTTTTCAGTGGCAATAGGCTTATCTGTTGGCCTCACAATACATGAATAATAGTAAAACCTGCATTTTAAAACATATGTCCCTGCACCCTGGGTCTGTGTGTGTGTGGATAAATTTAGGTCCCTTGTAGAGAAAGACCAGCTACTTCTGTGGTTACAAGGAGAATTATAAAATCCTTCCTAATTTCTCCTAGAAATGGGTACAAGTTCTTCCCAGAGCACTTGTTCCTTAAATTTTTTTTGAATTGATACATATTTGTACATATTTATAGGGAACATGTGATATTCTGTTGCATGCATAGAATATAGAATGATCAAGTTGGGATTAGGGTGCCCATCACCTTATTTATCATTTCTATGTGCTGGGAACATCTTAAGTCCCCTCTTCTGGTTATTTCGAAATATAAAATACACTGTTGTCAACTATAGCCCACCCACGTTACCATCAGAACATTAGAACCTACTCCTTCTATCTCACTGTATGTCTGTACCCATTAACCAACCTGTTTTTATCCCCCGATCCTCACACCTCTCCCAGCCACTGGTATCTGTCATTCTACTCTCATCTTCATGAGATCAACTTTTCCACCTCTTGCCCATGAATGAGAACTTGTGATATTTGTCTTTTTATACCTGGCTTATTTCCTGTAATATAATGACATCCAGTTCCATCCATGTTGCTGCAAATGACAGGACTTCCTTCTTTTTGTGGCTGAATAGTATTTATTATGTATAAACCACCTTTCTTTAGCTGTTCACCCATTGATGGACTCTTAGGTTGATTCCATATCTTGACGATTGTGAATAATGCTGTAATAAACACAGGGTGCAGATATCCCTTTGATATGCTGACTTCCTTTTCTTTGGGTAAATACCTGGTAGTGGGATTGTTGGATTGTATGGTAGTTCTATTTTTAATTTTTTGAGAAATTCCCATATTCTTTCCTATAATGGCTGTACTAATTTACATTCCCACCAACAATCTATAAGACTTCCCTTTTTCTGCCTCCTCACCAGCTTCTGTTATTTTTTCTCTTTGATAATAGCCCTCCTAACAGGGAAAGATGGTATCTTGTTCTTAAGTGTAGGTGCTCATCACAGTCACTGGGGAGATTGTTAATGACACAGAGGCCAGGCTTTACCTTGCCAGCTCATTCCATGTCAGAGAGAGAGCCCAATATGCATTCTTCCCATCACTTTGCCTAATAACTGCCCAGAGAGCTTGATTGAAATGCAAATTTTTTAGCCACAGCCCCAGAAATTCTAATGTTCAGGGTCTGAGGAGGGCTAGGAATTGTCATTGTTAACAAGACTTTGGGACTCTGAGGACCATTGCCCTGGCTGCTCTTACAGCACTTTGAAATCTTTTAACATCAGGTATATGGCTTCCATTTTGGGTTCCTGGCCCCTTAAGTACTGAAGGGGGCTCCTTCCCCTAACCTCACTAGTAGAAAGAGAAGAGGCAGCTGGCCAGCCACCTGTCTTGCTGTTTTCTGATTAGCTGATCTGGGCATGCTAGAGCCCAGGGAAGAATTTTCTGTGAGAGATGCTGTGGTTCAGCTATTGACTGGTAGGCCAGGCACTGTGTGGAGGTGGGTTTTGCAGATAAGGATGAGGTATTGATGTCTTGTCCTGTTCACATTCTGGGCCTTTGCAGACAAGCCTAACCCATCACAAATAGTGCTCCTTCCTGCTCCACTCCCTGCCTGGATGCTCCATGGCTTCAGGTTGGCCTTGGTACACTTTTGGCTGTGGGGCCCCAGCTTGAGGGCAGTTATTCTCCAGCTGGAAGTGGCATGTCCTGAGTGGCTCACGTTGTAGGAGGCTGCCTGGGCAGGTGACCATCCAATGGACTCTGGCTTCCCCTGTGCCAGAGGCTGTGTCTGGGTAGAACCACCAGTCCAAGCACAGTGCTGTGCTCTAAGGCTCAAACACCCTGTCATCATGGTGAGTTGCTTCCGCACAAGAGAGACTGTATCAACCAGAGGAAGCTTCTGCCCTGTGCAGGGCTTGGGGCCTGCTGGGGCAAACCTCACCCGTCTTGCCCTGTAGGGCAAGGGAGCTGGACATTTCTGCTCTGGATGAAGCTCCTGCAGGAGTTGGGTATGACCGGGCTAAGAGTCCAGTGAGGGCCACCGGAATGAGGCTGACTTTTTAATTGCCATCAAGTCATTATTCCAGTCTCACCTGAAACTGTTTAGGAAGAGACAGAGGCTTTCCATAGCCGAGGTGAGGCCTCTAGACTTCTCCCACCATTTCCATCCTGAGCGGTGTTTTGGGACTTTCTCTGAGTTGAGTGTGTGGTGCTAGGAAGAGGTGGAACTCCTGCAGGGCTGGAGGAGCATTACTTGTGACTTCCTCTGCCCGCCTGAAAGAAATGTCCTGCTATTTATTGACTTTTTGAATTCCAGTTAAGTAGCTTCAAGGGTGTGACTTAGCCCATCACCTGTGCACTACATCAATGCTTGCAAACTTTCATGTGCCCGTCAGCCCCCTAGGGACCCTGTTAAATGGATATTTGGACTCCACAGGGCTGGGCGGGGGCCTGGGAGTGTGTATTCCTAACCTGCTGCTTCTTGGACCATACTTTGAAAAGACAGGCCCTAAAAACTTGCCCACACAGAAATGTTTCTCATTCGTGCTCAAGTCTGGCTCCTGGGGAAGTTAAAGTTGATTGATGCACATCAGCAGCAGACAAATTAGGCAATGCTGTCTGTGTCATGAACTGTCCTCACTGAGCCCACAGATAGGTACTACTGGGGCCCCTCATTAGACCCCTGGCTTGTTAAAGCTGTGTTGACAGGATGGAACCCTGGGAGCAAAAGAAAGAATATAAGCATAGAGTGTCGTTTTCCCAGGACCAAGAGACAGAGCTAATTTACCCTCTAATGAAAGGTGAGTGGTCAGTTAAAAATCCCACATCATTCACAATTCTTTGTGCTATTCCGCCTCCCTGTTTTTTGCTTGTGGAATTGCCAAGGCGCAGGGAGAAGACGTGACCATGGCTAAGAAGATGAAGATGTCCTATGCCACAGAAGAGCACATTCAGTCCCAAGAGAAGGAACAGGCGTGCACGGACACCTGCATACTACCTTCCTGATGAGCATCTCTTCATGTTTCAGATTCCACGCCTTTGCCGAGAGAACAGAGTGTGTAGAATTTCCTGCATTCTCCACAAAAGATGGTGACTATGTGATGACTTGGAATTCAAGGAAACTGAAAGGAAAACTCCCTCCAGGTACCTGGAATTCAAAACAAGTGACGTAGCTTATGTTCCGAGTAGCCTCAGATGATGTGGATCATTAGGAAGTAAAGTACGAGGGAGAGACTCACCATGTTTTTTGTATATTATTATTAATGTGGTGCAAGAGCAGAGTTAATGAATATTAGCGGTGAATTTGTCAGCCTAGCAACCAGGCATAAGTTTAAAACCCAGGAAAATGGCCTAAGTGATGTGTGTTTACTAACTTGAGAACCTTCTGGGGATGTGGTCCTGGGCATGTCAGTGCTGGAGTTAGTTCTTGGCAAGGCAGAGCCATTCTGCTGTGTGGATTAGTTGGGAGGCTGCCGAGAGGGTGCCTGCAGTTCTTGGGGGCGGGGGGGGGGGGGGAGGAGGGTTTCTGCTGTCCTCCTTGTGACGAAAGCAGGGCCTGTGGATGCAGCTTGAGGGACTGGCCTGCCCCTTGTGAGGACTGAGGCCGCACAGGAACCTTTATGGAGGCCGAATGAACCTCCCCTTTCATTCAAAGAATGTGATCAGAGAACTTAATGAACACAGAGAATGAGGTCACCAAATCAGTGGGAAATAGGCTGTGATTAAAAAAAACAGTGGAGGTTACTCAGAAAGCCAGGAGATGTAAGTTTCTTTTAAGCTGATGAAATTGCAAAGTGCTGAAGACTGAATAAATCCACTAAAAAAAGAAGGGAGGAAAGCTGTTCGATTGTCGGATGAAGTGACCTGGTGGGTCATTAGAAGTCTAAGAAAGCCCACCCCCACTCTCCCCCTTTTTAAATTATCAAACAGATTTCTAGCTTCATTATAAGGCAGAGGCTACTCTTTGGGGATAAGAGAGAAGCCGTAGCAACAGCTGCTTGAAAGATTTACGTAATGGTGTTGCACAGGCTCCCAGGAGAAGGTTAGGTTGTCAGATGGAGATAAAAGTGAGGATGAGTCATAAGCCTGTTCCTGACACACACTTTGTAGATTCAAATTCTTGGTGCCCAAGCAGAGGAGGGGAGAAGTTCCCATAGAGTTCACTGGAGGCACTACTTCAGGTAACTGACACCTTTGTTCCAATTATGAAGGGGACATCTCCACAGAATTCGAGAAAATGCCAATTTATAGGCAAGATCGATGCTAATCTAAGAAGAAATTAATTCAGGATGTATGCCATGTCTATTGAAAGTAATTTACAAGATTAAGCCTAGTGGGCAATGATTTAATCAGGGCAAAGAATGTGAGATGTTACTAGCAACCGAAGGTGGGCCGATTACTGGAAATGAGGTTTAGTCTTGGTCTTTGGATTCCTTGGCAAATTAATTATAAAGGGAAATACAAATTGCATAGCTTACATTTTCAGCAACTACCATTTTACCAAACCTTTGAAGCATGCAAATTACATACAAAAACATTTTTCTTAGAATAAAATGCTCAGCATGGATTGCAGTTCTCAATCCATTTCAGTGATCACATCTGAATTTAGGGGGAGAGTCCCAAATCCTAAATACATGATCTTGTCTCCTCTGTCCATCATCACAATGTCCCAGAAATGCCAACATTTTAACCCCTCCCACTCAGCAACTGCCCAGAAACCTTGACAGACAGTTTTGATTTGGAAAATGTGTGATATCCCACGTCACCTGGGCCTCTGAGGCAGGTTTCTTCCCTTTACCTGATCACATCTCTCTCCATTGCCACATCAGCTGTTTCTAGCGTTTTCCAACATCACCTTCCTCAGGTCACCCTCTTGTTTGGTGGGGGAGTGACTTCTTACATTATTTCCCCCTCTACTGTATAGAAAATAGCGACTCTCAAGTAAGGGATTGGAGAAGCATAGCTCAGAGGACTGTCCTGGCAATCTGAAGGAATTTCCTGCTATTATTGACTTTTTGGATTCCAGGTAATTGGTTTTCAGGGTATGACTTACCATGACCTCATGCTTTGTGCCAATACAAAAAACTCTGCAGTTAAGATAAAGAATATATATTTTTTTAATTATTGCAAATTTTATATAACATAAATTTACTGTCTTAACCACTCTTAAGCCAGCAGTTTCCCCATTCTACTTTCTTTCTGTCTCCTTTCTGAATAGACTACTCTGGGTATCTAATAAATAAGTGCAATTATACAGTATTTGTCCTTCTGCCACTGACTTATTTCACTTAGCATAATGTCCTCAAGCTTCATCTATGTTGTAATATGTGTCAGAATTTTCTTCCTTTTTAAGGCTGAATAATATTCCATTGTATGGATATACCACATCTTGTTTACTCATTCATCTACCAATGGACTCTTGGGTTACTTCTACCTTTTGGCGGTTGTGAATAATGTTATGAATATGGGTGTACAAAATATCTCTTTGTAGATTCTGCTTTTCATTCTTTTAGATATATACTCAGAATAGAATTTCTGAATCATATGTGGGGATTCTATTGTTAATTTTTTTCCAGAAACCTTCATAGTGTTTTCCATAGTGCATTACATTCCTACCAACAGTGCATTAAATTTTCCACATCCTGGACAACACTTGTTATATTCTATATTTTTGATAGCAGCCATCATAATGGGTCTGAGGCGATATCTCATTGTAGTTTTAATTTGCATTTCCCTGATGATTCATTTTTTTAATCATCTTTTCATGTGCTTATTGAAATTTTGACTGAATATTTTAAAAAGTCAAAATTAATGCCACAAAAATCCATGATGATGAAAATATCACAATTTCAAATAAAGACAGTCTCCAACAAGACTCTGTGAGACCATATTGGAGCCTGAGGCAAGAGGAGAAATGTGTGCCTCTAAATATATGTTTTTATTATTTGTAATGATAATTTGTTTCTAGGTTATTAAGTTAAAGAATATTGAACAATTAAAATGTGTATTAATATATTATTTTAAATTTAAGTATTTGGGGAGTATATTTATATTTCTTGCTAAAGCTTTTATTCATCACACATACTTTCAAAGTTGCTTTCTCACATTTCTTATAATTTACAATTCTGAATTGAAAATGAGATAAGAAATAGACTTAGAACATACTTTTTAACTGATGAATTTGTTTCCATCAAGATTAGGAATGTAAAATGAATTCTGTTTTGGTATAAATAAAATACTTAATGTAAATTTTAATATTCCTACTTTTTAATTTTCTAGTATTTTTTCAACTACTTTAATGTTCTGGGAAAAAATTACCCATTGCAAATCCATGACATCATGTGTGCAGGGAGGTGCATTGTTCCCGTTTGCCTCTGGCTGCAAGATGGCTCCAGGTCGCCCTGCTCAGCAGGCCCCCCCGCCACCTTCTAACCCCATCCACATCCCTCTTCCACATGCTGCACCTCATTTTCAAGCTCTGTCTGAATGTCTTCCATCTCTTGGGCAGTGTGCACTTGCTCCCAAGTAACCTCTGGAAGATGCTCCTTAGCTGCCCTCCTCCCTTCCATGTAAACATTACCTTTCTAGGAAGCCCTTCTTGTCCTCCTGTTGGCACTTTTAGGCTGCTTCTTGAGGCATCTGCTGCAGCATACAAGCCACAGACAGGACAGTACCTTTTAATGGTAATCTGGGAAGGTCCAGAAACCAGAGCAGACAAGAATCTCTGTTCACAAACTCCTGTATGCTAGACAGATCCGTTAACAATTCCGTAACTGTGTTTTTTCATGAGCTCACCCCCATTTTCTTACATACTGGGAGAAAATGTGCAGAATCCTTGTTTTCCCCTGCTGTGTATGCCCCCTGAGCCCAGGAAGCAGAGAGTGATGACTAAGGTAATGTGAGTGGGGCAGGTGGCGGGGTTGGGGGGGACAGATCTCATAATATCTCATGACATGGTCTCTACTATCTGCAGCTCCTGAAGCAAATCTTCATATTTCTAGAAAGGAACAACTTTTCACCTGCGTGAGGGTGGGGCTACATTGCTTACCTGCACTGGATTCCCAGGCCCTTGGAGCAGCTACTCAGCTGAGTGGTCAGAATCCCAGGGCCCCAAAAGCTTGGTGCCTGAACCTGGGCACTTGGTGGTCATCTCACCTTTTATTTCCAGGGATGACTCCCTGCCTTAGAGATTCTGCTTCCACCCAGCACCAATCCATCCCATCCAGGAATGTTCCACCAGCCTCAGATGGGCTCCCCTCCTTGGGGAGGGCAGGATCTTTGGCTTGGATTTACAGAGTGCAGGAGATTTAGTCTGGCAGATGCTGCTGACTGGAAGCTGCCACTCATCTTTTAAGCCTCTCCTCCTCATAGCTGTCCTTCCCCTTGGCTTTCAGCCCAGAATTGGCTGGGCCCCTGCCTCTGTTCCCACTCCTCGGGGGAGGTAGGTGCTCTGTTGAGGACCCAGCACCTTCCTTCCCATACTTCTCTGCATGAGGGCATCCCTGCCTCTTTTTCTCTTCATGAGGGGCTTGGCTGTCTGCTGGAGAGGGTAAGGGGCACCAGTGGAACATAGATTATTGTGGGACCAGAGCAATGCTCCCTTTGGGTGCTCCTCTGAGCCACCCAGCTCCCCACAACTTATCTTCCCTTCTCTGTTAATGAGTGTAGATTCTCTTCATGGCCTATGTCTACCATGAAATAGTAATATTCATCTTACCCATAAGCAAAATAAGACAGAGGCATATAAACCTTCCCTGAACTCTAGGCATTTGCCTTGGAAAAGGTCCCTTTCCAAGACTGGGCAACATTTTCTCCATTCTTGCCCTGGGGCTTAAGTTTCCCCTGCCCACAGTCTTGTGGCATGTGCCCCAGGCCCCCTCGCCAATGGCCAGTTAAGAGGTGGGCCAGATGGGCAAGTAGCAGAGCCTCCATGCCTTGGCACCTGTTTCTCAGGGAATCTGTTGGACATTCCTCTTACCTAGCTTCCAAAAGCCTTTTAAATATGGCAGCTGCCATTGACTGTGGTGACACTTTTCATTTGCTCTGTTGGCAGAGTTTCATCTGGTGCTGCTGAAGAAGAACTTTTTGCTTCAGAATCTGAAACAGAGGCCTGAAAAGTCATCTTCTGTGCTCCTCTATTTTTG